AAAAAAATTATTTTTATATCATTATCTTATTATTAAATTGGTGGGTTTTTATTTTTTTGGCCGAAAATGGGCTCAACTTTATGTAACTGACTGACTGGTTTATTTATTTGATTCTTCATGTATTTGCTTTTGTTGTTGAATCAGTTTGATGATGATTTTTTTGCTTCTTGAGGATGGTGCTCTAAATCCAGAGAAACAGCAGTGGTGTCTATATTCCCAACTCGCATATATTATGCATGCGTAACTGAAGTCCATTGGCATGAAATATCTTGGATAAATATAGCATAGGGGGCTAACTTTCACATTTTGGTAGAGACCCCTGCTGGCATGGGTCATTAAGTCAAGAAAAGATATTCACATGATGCTTGATCATGGAACAAGGTATTAAGTACGTGCATGACTTTGGGACCTTAAGTGGCTAACATCCTTCCTTTCAGGGTACATATATAGTTTTCAAGATTTAATGTGTTAACCAAAATTATGGCACTGTTCTTGTCATGTAAATACATAAAATCTCTAATTCTTGTTAATTGATTCTTATTCAAATTGCTGCATTTGTGAGAATTGGGGTAAACGACATTATTTAATTCAACAAGAGTTCAAAACTTCTTCATATTTGGGTACCAAGGTACCTTTTCTTCAGACAGAAATAGTTGTCATGAAATAATTGAATAATTTTATTTATGGTAATTATTCTTTTTTATTAACCTAATTACATCTAATTAGGCTTGCATGCATTCTATAGATGGAAACACTTGCAAAGAAAAAGGAAAATACTCCTAAGATTCATGTTGCTTCAGCGGTTGGAAACTGCTTATCAAATGACAAATGTTTCAACATTTCTGACCCCTGCCAAGAACGACAAAGTTCTAGAAGGCAGAAACTATTCCAGCATAGGCAGGGCTTATGTTTTACTTTTACCTTTGTGACTCTAACTGGTTTAAACTCTAAAATGAAGAATTTATTCATCTCCATGGCACGTTGCATATTGACTTTTGGTAATGTTTTTATTCACATTAAAGCAAAAATTAATCATGTTGGTTGAAATGTTTCCTATGTCGAAAAAATCAGATTATTTTATACATGTAAGAAATGTTTCCCATGCAATCTATATTCATGAAGAATGGAGGGAAATTGAATCGAATTAGAGATATACGCAAGCAGAAATTTAAAGAATGAATGAATTTTTGAAGTCTTATATATGTTCATAGAGATAGCTAAAAATAGGTCTCTCTAGTACTGGTATGCACTCGACAATACAGCCAAGGGACCAAATTAAAAGACAGCAGCTATGGCGAGGCAGGCACCCCATTGTTCCCAAATCCCAATTCTACCTCTCCGTGTTGGCAAACCACTTCAAAAACTTCACGCGTGACCACCTGGAGAAAAATTGTTATCCCAGGAATTACAAAAAACCTTATGTTCTTCTCAATGCCCTCGAATATGTTCTTCCTCTTCAGCTTTCTAGCATTGAATTCATTGAAAACTTGACAGAGCACAAACGTGTAGAAAATCAAGGTGTCATTTACGGCCTCTGTCACGTTGAAGATTGATTTACCTCTGTGGTGCAGCATTAGGAGCACTACTATCGTTTTTTTTTTTTTTTTGGGTACATAGCACTACCATCGTATTAAATGTACGAACAAGTATTTTATTTTATGTCTTATTATACTTATTTGTCTTAAAATAACTATAGATTTTAACTTAAAATTTGTCCTTAATTAATTATTATTTTTTCATTTTTTAAAGGAGAAATATTTTCCCCCATTTTTAAACTTTTTTTTTATAACTTAGTTTTATTACTAACAACATTCTCTATCTATCTTTATAAATTTTTTTAAAGATAATATAAATAAATACATAAATTATATCTAAATTCTTCATTTATAGAAAAAGAATAAAAATAAGTTATTTTGAAATAAAAAGAATATGGCTCCTTTTATTGGTGTTGTGCTACATTGTATTGTGATTTTTTTTTTGTCTTTTACTATACGAAAATATATACAATATAATTTAAAATTAATAAAAACATATTAAAAGTAAAAATCAAAATGTCATGATATTTAAAATATCATAATTATTTATGAAATTATTCCAACGCTCTTAATGATTTTTTTTTACATATTGATTTATTAAAAATATTTAAGTCTTGTCAAAAGGATTGTTGAGATTTTAATTACCAAAATATATATTCTAATTTTTGCAATCCCTAAAAATATAATTAAAATTAATTTAAAATTTAAAATTTTAATTTCTTAAATAATGCATCATGTAAAAAACGTTGTGCAAAACACTAATAAAGGGCAAAATTAAAGGGAACGTCTTGCTCCAGCTTCATTTAGGCACCTTTTCAGTCAACACCATTCACTCCAGCTTTTGTCCTAGATGGCTTTTTGTTAATTTTAAAATAAAAATATTATGGGGAAAGGGGAAGGCAGGTCGACCTGCAAAAGTAATTGCAAGGTTGACCTTAATGAAACGACCATGTTTCACTAAAAAGAGGGGTTTTCACCTCTTCCGTTGAGACCCTTCAACTCTGCAATCCCTTTCGCCAGGTTCTCTTCTCCTCTCCCTCGACCGGAGCTCATGGCAGCTTGAGCCCGTTGCGTCAGAGGCTCTCTCAAATTACCTAGGGTTCCCAATCAAACACAGTTTGCTTCTTCCCTTTTTCCTCCTTTCGTAGCTATTATTGGCTGTGGTTGTATTGTTTGATCCCTAGCTAGTTCAAACTGATGGGATTTTCTTCACCTTCTGGTTTTGGATACCATATTTCATTTTCATCTTCCAAGAAACTGTTATAATATGTTTATGTCGTTAGAATTTTAAATATAGACATGCATGAAAATTAGGATATTAAAATTTAATAAAATAAATAAATTATGTATATAAATTTTCATAATTAATATAGTACATAAAAATCTTCATGGATTTTTAAGAATTATCATAGAGGTTTATCATAAACAAAACTTACAAAACAAATATAATTACTATTAAGATTTAAGTCTTCCTCTCCCTATTTGATTTCCGCACATTAACAATTAAAATTGATCATATCATTTCCTAATCTTACTATTTATAGAAATAGGATTTTTAATGAAAGAAGAGACTTAATCCATTATAATAAATTTTTAAGCACCCAAAGTAGCTCACCTTTTATTTGAAATTCTATACTTATTCATATCACATTATATAAAATTGAGATAAAAACTTAAACTCATTTAAATCATATAATTTTATTAGATTTTACCAATTTTCCATTTGAATTAATTTTTAAAAACTAAATACAATTAGCAAAAGGAAAATGCTTTATGCACCCTTTGGTTCAACACCCAAGGATGCACACTTTACATAATCAAATAATTTTAACAATAAAATTACAAATTTAACCTTGAAAGTCATCTTCCTCTCAATACCCCTTTTTCTTCTTGTCTCTCCATCTTCCTCAACCCTTTCTGTCTGGTGTTTTTAGCTACTAAACTCTTCTCCTTCCTCGAAACTAGATCTGTTTCTTTTTGGGGCTGCTTGGCGATGACGATGATGATGGTGGTGATGGTGACAATGGTTATGGAAAACAGAGGGATCTATGGTTCTGCCCCTTTCCTTCTATTTCGATGGTGATTGAGGATGGTGATGGAGGTGGAGGTTGTGATGATGATGAGGAGATGCAAGGAGATGGTCTAGATCTACAGAAGAGAGAAGAATCAAGAGAGAAGAAGAGGTGGGTTCTTGGAGAACTTGATCTGGGTTCTCCAGAACCCAGGTCTGGGTTCTTTGACCGAGAGAGAGAGAGAGAGAAAAAAAAAAGGGGTTGGGTTCTCCGAGAAAAACCTAGGTCTGGGCTCCTCGAGAACCCAAACCAAGAGAGAGAGAGAAAAAAAAAAAAAGGGGTAAGAACCCAGACTGGGCTCTCTTAGAGAACCCAGACCTGGGTTCTCTCGAAAACCCAAAAGGAAAAAAAAGGAAAGGGTAAATTTGTAATTTTACTTTTAAAATCATTTGGTTATGTGGAGTGTACACCCCTAAATGTTGAACCGGGGTGTGTATGAATCATGATCCTTTGCAAAAACTCACATAAAATTTCCAACATATGTATATCAATAGTGTTGTTTAATTTGTTTAAAAAAAAAAGAAAAAAAAAAGAAGAAAAAATCATTTGTTTGTGGTACTTCTCTTACTCCTTATTTCCGACGTCCCATTTTCCTTCCTGACTATTTACTTATTTTTTATTCATAATTCAACTCATACAATTTTTGTTAATAACATCGACATTGGTTATCATATGTGATTCGTTTCTTTTTCTTGATAACGCTGACTTTAGTTGTTTTCCTTATTGCTGGTATAGATATTAGGAAAGTTGCTAAGTGATCTCTATTTTAAATTCCAGTCTTTTGATGTAAATTCCCATTCTTCTTTCTTTGCTTTAAGCTCGTGAAGAAACTGAGTAAGAATAAGCAGTAAATGTATGACTATTCTCACTACATATATTCGATTAAAATTTGAATAAACTAAGTGAGAGTTATTTATGCAACAGGTCCATTATGAACTTCGTTTGAACTCTGACGAGAGATGTGCTTTAGTTTCTTCTCCCACTTCTTTCTGCTTCTACAAATACAAAAGAACCATGATTATCATACACTCATTCGTACCACACTTTCGTTACATACTTTTTTTTTTTGTTAGTTCTCACACTCCATTAGTCTCTATTTCATTCTTACCGTGTTCTCACCTTCTTTTTTTTTTTTTTTTTTTTAATCTCTCAGGTTCTCTCTGAGAACCCAGACCTGGGTTCTCCAGGAGAGCCCAGTCTGGGTTCTTGGAGAACCCAAATCTAGGTGAACCCAAATCGGGTTCTCTAGGAGAACCTAGATTTGGGTTTTCCAGAAAAACAAAAAAAAAAAAAAGAAAAAGAAAAAGAAAAAAGGAAGAAGGTGGGAACCTGGGAAAGGCTGGTAATTGTCTTGCAGATGATTAGGATAAGGATGGAGGTGAGGAGGAAGATGGATTTGGTTAGGACGGAAATGGTTAGGTGAGTTGGGAGATGGCTGAAAGGATGGTAATGGAGTTAAGTGTAATTAACGGCAAAATAGCGAAAATTGAAGGTGTAACGGAGTGTGTGGTGTAGGAGTGTGCATGCATCATTATTCAATACAAAATTATTTGAAGCAGGGTATAAAGACTTATGGATGAGACAAGGTATGTGTTTTGAAATTTAATCATATGGTGTTGTTCTTGGGGAGAACATACTAAGTATTTTAACATTGTAAACATTTGAGTACTCTTTATACTCACATATAGATAAAATTCTAATTGCTGATCTAAATAAAAATCCCCTGTATTATGCTTGTGTTTTTTTGACTATCTGTTTAATGTTTGATTGATTCAGTGCATTTAATTAGCATTTATGTTTCTGGTTTGGTTCTATATTGAGTCGGTTATATTCTCTCTTTTATAGGTATTGAGGAAGATTTGCTATTATGGTATCAAACAGTACCCGATAAAATGTATAAAGTGGAGTCATAGTTTTTGTTAATGTAAGCTTCTTAGCTTGTATTACTTAATGACAATATTCAAATCTCAAGGAAAGAGGCCTACAGAAGTTGCAGCTAGTAAGTACCAATCCATCAAGGACGGTAGATTGGAAAGGGGTTCTGAGAAGATCCAAGGATAGGAGGGATGGATTTAGGAGGTTAAGAATTGTCTTTGTTGTTGCTGTCTGCACCTTGTGGTTGTGGAGGAACAGAAGAGCATCGGTAAATGAAGCAATTAATGGTAATGGTCTTGTTCAGTTAATAATATAGTTTATTAATTTTTGTTATAGATGAGTTTATACTGTAATGCTGGGAATGCCCAGTTGAATACATGTAATTACCCTCCTCGGGGATTTTTGGAAATGAAAGAACTTGCGCATTTTATAAAAATTATTCAAATTTTAGTAGAATATATGTAGTGAGAATAGTCATACATTTACTGCTTATACTTAGTTTCTCCACAAGCTTAAAACAAAGAAAGAAGAATGGGAATTTACAACAAAAGTCTGGAATTTAAAATATAGATCACTTAGCGACTTTCCTAATATCTATATCAGCAATAAAGAAAACAACTAAAGTCAGCGTTATCATGAAAAAGAAACGAATCACATATGATAACCAATGTCGATGTTATTAACAACAATTGTATGAGTTGAATCATGAATAAAAAATTAGTAAATGGTCAGAAAGAAAAACGGGACTTCAGAAATAAAGGGTAAGGAAAGCACAGCAAAACAAATTATCTTTTCCCTTTTTTTTTTTCTTTTTTTTCTGTTATCTAAACAAAACCAAAACAACACCACTGATATACATAAACATATTATAACAGTTTCTTGGAAGATGAAAATGAAGTATGATATACAAATGACCTAAACTATCACTAGATTATCCCAAACCAGAGGGTGAAGAAAATCCCATCAGTTTGAACTAGCTAGGGATAAAACAATACAACCACAGCCAATAATAGCCGCAAAAGCAGGAAAAAGGGAAGAAGCACCCTGTTTCGATTGGGAACCCTAGGTAATTTGAGAGAGCCTCTGACGCAACGGGCTCCGGCGGCCATGAGTTCTGGTCGAGTGAGAGGAGAAGAGGACTTGGCGAAAGGGATTCCAGAGGTGAAGGGTCTTAACGGAAGAGGTGAAAAATCCTCTTTTCAGTCAAACACGGTCATTTCATTGAGGTCGCCCTGCAATTATTTTTGCAGGTCGACCTGCTTTCCATAAAAACGACAAAGTGAGAAACTGGAGGAAGCCTAAAATAGTTAAATACGGTAAAACTGAGAGGTTGCGAATATAGAACCGGCAAGCCTACCTGCATGTATTATGCAATAGTAAGAACATAAAGAAATGTTCAGAGGAACTTTTAAAATAGGCTCCGTTTAGTTTAGTTATTTGTGAATAATTATTAATTATTGATTATTTATTTGAGTGCATAAAAATAGTGATAGGTTTTTTTTATAAATGTCACAGATGAACTTTTAAAATAGGCTCCGTTTGAGTTTTTGCATTACTTAGTGTGTAGCAGTATTTTGATAGCCAACTCGGAAGTCAAATTATTTAGACATTTGAGTTTTGGTTTGATCATTTTAATTGGTTAAATTATTAAAATTATTA